GGGACAGTCTGCAAGGTGCTAGCCATGAACCACACCCACATATCGGCGCCCCTGGATGGAGCTTCGGGGACAGTCTGTAAGGTGCTGTGAACCACGTCCACAGATCAGCACCCCTGGATGGAGCTTCGGGGACAGTCTGCAAGGTGCTAGCCATGAACCACACCCACATATCGGCGCCCCTGGGTGGAGCTTCGGGGACAGTCCGTAAGGTGCTAGCCATGAACCACACCCACATATCGGCGCCCCTGGGTGGAGGGGGAGCTTCAGGGACACAGTTCATAGGGTGCTAAGCCAGAGACTGTGTCTCCAGGTCCGCAGGAGGGTGGTGGACATCTCTGGGTCGGATTACAGCTTTGGAAACACAAACGGTGAGGGGCACTAGGAGTCAGAACAGGGGCCAGCGGGGAGTAGCAAAGCATCGGTGATGGGACAGCACCCTCTTTAGATGGCCACCTTCACTCCAGCATTTTAACGTGGCCCTTGACAGAGCCGTCAAATGCAGCACAGCCTGTGATTGCTCGGACGCTGTCACCAGGGCATCACCTTGTCATTCGCAGGGATCCCGAGGCTCTGTTATTTCAGAAATGGACCATCGGTCCTACATCTCGGTCCACAAGCCCTGCTGAAACCTGATCACTACAGGTGACCACGCTGACACTTGAAATGCTGGTGACACAGCTTCCAGGATCATGGCAACGTGCCAGTCACCACAGTGCAGTGATCTGACAGGCGCGCTGCACTGGGCAGAGCAAGGACGCTCAGTTCAAGGCCAAGGTGAGCTTGGCCCAAGCCTCAGCGTTTTCAACTGCTTCCTTTTTACGCATCTGAAAGTCGGACGATGAAGGCTGAGGGACGGATGCTTTGAACTGGGGTGCTGGTGAGGAGTACTGACTCTCCCACAGATCGCCAGTTAACGAGCAAGCTTGCCCGCCCCAGGAAGGGCCACCGGGTGTTCTTTCCAGCAAGCACGGGGCCCCTTCACGCTCTGGGCATGTTGTCAGGAGGGTCCAGACTTTGGAGACGACCTCACGCAGGGTGAGGCAGGAGGCCCCCAAAGAGAGGAAGACCCTCTACTCGATAACCAGGCACAGAGACGCGGCCACGGGCCTGGGCATGACCAATCGTGAGGGCGGGGCAGGGCAGGAGGCAAACCCGCTGTTCACACGGTCAGCACGGGTCACAGCCACCCTGAGCGCACCTGCCGACAGCACTGACCGCGGGTGTGGACTGTGGATCCAAGAGGAGATTTTGACAGCATCAATCATTTCTCCATCCATCATGATCCTAACGGTCCACCGGCGAGGAGTTTTCTTGATGCTGAAATGTAACTTGGTGAAGGCTCGATGAAGTCTTTGATCTGCAAGTAAGTGCCAGCAAGGCTGGGCCATCTTGGGGAGCTTCCCTCCAGCCCTGATGAGCCCTCCGTGCGGGGCAGCTGCCTGCGTCACTTGATGAACACTCTCCATATGGGGCAGCTGCCTGTGTCACTTGACGAGCCCTCTGTGCGGGGCAGCTGCCTGTGTCACTTGATGAACATTCTCCATACAGGGCAGCTGCCTGCGTCATTCACGCAGCCCCTAACGTGACTAGGTATGGTAAGAGATACAGGTGACACAAACCTGTGGTTCTAAACCACATAGGCTCCCCTGCTCTCTGAACGGCTGCCTCCCGGTCTAGGTACAGGTTTCGCATGGTGCAGGGAAGTGTTCTAGAACTCACATGCTTATAATATATGTCTCCATGGGTGATGGTCTGGGCAGACCTGTTCTGACCTGCTGACAAGTATTTCAAATCCAGACGGTGCAATGTCTCCCAACAAGAAGCCCCAGGTGCCTGTGAACTATCCCCCGGGATATTGTGGGTCTGACCAGGTGTCTCACACTGGACAAGTGGACACATGTTCCGGACAGTCGTGCCTCCAGGCTCTGCTGGCCTAGGTTTCCCCTCTGAGCCTGTTCCGTCCGACACATTCCGGGTGTAAGGATGACTGCGTGTGGAAGGCTTCATGTGTCTCTTTGTACTATATTTTGGAGACCGATTCTACCAGAAAACACACACACACACATCAGACTGGAGAACACGAAGAACAGCCACAGGTGAGAAATTCTCACTCCTCCATTTCCGTCAGCTGTCTTGCTGAAAATGACAGGTGGCTTTTCCTGTTGTCACTGTGTTCTCGCTGTTACTGTTAACTGTGACACTGACCCCTGTGTGTTCCTGAAATGCCAATCTCTGGATAGAAAGAGTATCTGGCTGACCCTCAGACAAAGCGAGGCATCGAGACACCAGCTCATGGGCGGCTGGGAATCTGTGACCGTTTAGACCAGGCCTCCACCTAGAACAGGTGTGAAGGGCAGGACTCAGGTGCTGGGCGGGGCCGGCAACACCATGACATGACCCCGTGACACTAACCCAGCCTCTGAGCTTCCAGACAGCACAGGTGGGAAGGGCAGGGCTCAGCCTGCCCAGGGAGGGCACCACCTCCGCAGAGGTGAGCGCCACAGCAGGAAAATCCCAAGCAGCAGTGGCCGCGAGGCCAGTGGTCATGGGGGGGGGGGGGCAGCCATCAGGCCCCTCATTGCCGAGCCTGAGTGAGGTGAGTCAGGGAAGGAAAGAGGAAGTGTGGGGGAAAGCAGACCAGGGTGAGGTGCTACAGGAGAGGCAGGGAGGCCCAGAGGGAGGCCCAGCCAACAAGGCGGCCCCACCGAGACCACCCACCACGGCCCCCAGAGAGCACAAGCAGGAGCTAAAAGAAGTCACGTCACTAACAGCCACCAGGCAGGATTTCCAAATAGATGTCATGTTCCATCATCATTTACAAAATCCCGTAAGCAATCTGAAAATATTCTCTAAGTCAGAGTAGAGCTGTGGTAATGAGGAACCGTCTGACAAGGTGACAATAACTTGAGAAGGGAACGCGGACGGTTTAAATACAGGGGTTGATAACCAGAGTCCACACGGCTTAGTCTTTGGCGGCATCGGTTCACAGTGTGACTGACCCCAGGCCCTGGGCCCTTCTCATGGCCTGTGTCCACCTGCAGAGCAGAGCCCCGGAGCTGGGCGCAGGCGCGGCAGGGGCACCGCAGAGGGGCACGGAGGGAGGGAGGGGGCACCTCGGGAGGGGCACGGCGGGAGGGAGGGGGCACCGCGGGAGGGGCACCGTGCACTGCGGCAAGGGCACCATCCACCACGGGAGGGGCACGGCGGGAGGGACATCGTGCACCGCGGCAAGGGCACCATCCACCATGGGAGGGTCACGGCGGGAGGGAGGGGCTGTGCAGCAGGCAGGGGCTTCAGGGATGAGGAGACGGCCTCGGCCTTCTGTTCCCGGCCTCGGGGTTTCATTCCCGGCGCCTATGACCACACGTCCTGGAGGTAGCGGCCCTCCTCCTTCCAGGCGGCCAGCGTCCGCAGCGCCTCCAGCCTCTGCAGCCCGGCCTCAGCACTCACCATGTCCACCAGGGCCTCGCTCACATCCTTGGCCATGTTCTTAGCATCTCTAGGAGAGGAACAGACAGTTAGCCGGAGCCAGAATCGAGTCTCCACGCTGTCTCGGCATCTCCATCCTGCCTCCATTTCCCACGCGCCACGCCCCGCCCTGCTCAGGGACACGCATGGGGGGCGCACTGAAGCCACGCTGACCATGGCATCCTGCACAAGGCCGCTCGGTGCCAAACCTCCAGCCTCTGCACCTGCCCACGGCCGTCCAGCCCCCCTGATGAGGTGAAGGCAAGGGTTCTGGATGCCCTGAGCTCACCCTCGACGGACCAACTGGGACATGCACACAGGCAACGCCTGGGACACTCACCTGCAGTCCTTCACACACATTTATACACCCGCGAGGAATGAACGCTGGTGTGTGACATGCCTGTGCGTGCACACCCCTGACACACACATACACCCACCTGCACACCTACACTCCTTCACACACATACACCCACCTGCACACCTACACCCCTTCACACACACACATATACACCCATGAGAAATGTACCCACATGTATGACCACACCTGTGCGCACATCTCCCTCACACATATGTGCACCGGTGAGAAATGTACCCGTGTATACATCACACCTGTGCGCACACCCTGCACACACATGTACACCTGTGGGAAACACACCCACGTGTATACACCACTCCTGTGGAGACACACACACCCCTGCACACATACACTCACCTGTGCACACCCACATCTGCACACCCGTGGGAAGTGCTCCTATATGTATGCACACCTGGACACATCCTGCAGACACACACACTCTCACTCCTGACAAAGACGTACACCAGGTGGACACTCCACACTTGTGCGCGTGCACACTCACCTGTACACATCTGTACACCTGTGAGAAACATTCCCACGTATATACACCACTCCCGGACACACCTGCACACAGACACTGCTGACAAAGGGGCACAGTGCGTGAACACTCACACCTGTCGCACACACACCGTGAGAAAAGCCCTGAGGCAGGTGGCAGGCCACAAAGCTCTCTCATCCGAGAACGGACTGTCACAATGTCCTGGCCTCAAGGGGACGCCCGGCCCTCTCAGGACAAGCCTGCCCAAGCTGACCTGGGAGTCCAGCCTCGTGGCCACACGGCGAGACCCCCCCTGCTGGCCCTGCCCGGGAAGCCCGAGGTCACTCACCCGCACACGTACAGCGAGCCGTTCCCGTGGAGCAGGACCTGGGCCACCTGGCCGGCGTGGAGCCGCAGATTGTCCTGCACGTACCTGGGCGCAGCTGTGTCCTCGCCCACCGGCTCCCGCGAGAAGGACACCTTCAGGTGGGTCAGGACCCCCTGCTGCAGGAAGTGCTGGAGCTCCTCCCTGGGACAGAACGACAGAGGTCACGGGGTGCCTGCCACTCGGGGGGAAGCCCAAGGCGGGGTCCCACCCCGGAGTCAGCACCACCGCACCTGAACAGGTAGTCCCGGTCCCGATGTCTGCAGCCAAAAAACAGCCACGTCGCCCCAAAGTTCACCCCCGGGCGCTGCTCCTGGAGTTTCTCCCTAAACAGAGGTCAAAGTCACAGGTTCACCATGAATACCACGTGGGACCACCATCTGCTTCTGTGAGGAAACACCTAGGCCAGGCTGATGGATGTGGGTGGGTCACGGACCACAGGGTGTCATGGTCCACAGGTGTCACGGTCCACAGGTGTCACAGAATGCAGGTGTCACGGTCCGCAGGTGTCACGGTCCACAGGGTGTCACGGTCCACAGGGTGTCACGGTCCACAGGTGTCACGGTCCACAGGTGTCACAGAATGCAGGTGTCACGGTCCACAGGTGTCACAGACCGCAGGTGTCACGGTCCGCAGGTGTCACGGTCCACAGGGTGTCATGGTCAGCGAGCTGGGGTGGCTGCACGTCCAGACCACGCACACATCCAGGACGATGTGATGCACAGTCCAGCCAACACACAGCCGTTCCTCCACCAAATCCCTTCAGTGCTGACTCTCAGGGAACGAGGGGAACATACCGGCTGATCCTCGCTCCCAAACCCAGGCCACTAGGGCCGTCTGCTGTCCACAGGGCAGGGGGACAGCCCCGCTCCCAAACCCAGGCCGCTGGCACCCATGGCCAGCTCTGCATGTCTGCTGTCCACAGGGCAGGGGGATAGCCCTACTCCCAGTCACAGGCCATGAGGGCCCGTGGCCAGCTCTGTGCATCTGCTGTCCACGGGAGGGACTAGCGGCCACACGAGACGACAAGGTGGCTTTATGAGAAGGGAATTCCACCGTTTGGGGAACAGCACACGAGGGTGGAGGAGGACAGCTCCTCAACAGAATAGTTCTATTTCCTCTTTACATCAAACAGGCTGGGGTCCAAGCTTCACCCTTAACATCAGGCAGGAGAACCCCCCCAAGGCTGGCAGGGAAACCTCTGGCACCGGCCTGTGGGGAGCGCGGCCACTAGTTAAGGAACACAGTGATGGGTGTCGTTACATACCAGGGACCCCTGACTGCGGGACCTCTGTGCAAACAACACACACCCCACACGGGCTTCTGGAGACGGCCTGGCCCGGTGAGCAGCAGGTCCGCCTACACCTGTGAGTCACACCTGAGCCCCAGTTCCACCAGTACCTGTGAGTCACACCTGAGCCCCAGCTCCGTCTACACCGTGAGTCACACCTGAGCCCCAGCTCCGTCTACACCGTGAGTCACACACACCTGAGCCCCAGCTCCGTCTACACCTGTGAGTCACACCTGAGCCCC